AATAATTAAAATGTGCTTTACCTTAATTGCATCAATTTCCTTTTTCAGGACAAGATCGTCAAATCTATCGATGTCTTTTGGATGAATAGAGCCACGTATATCTGTAAGTAGTGAAATCTAAAGACAGGATAGATGTATCGATATCAGTATTTGATTTATAAAAATACAAACAGTAACGATCATGGATGCTTTAATTGTTGGATTTCCTGCAACATTAATTGCAAGCTCCCCAAAAGAACTAGAAGCCCACAACAAGAACACCTTTGACATCATTAAAAAAACAGCAAATTAATGAACATTCTTTGACATCAAGAGCAAAAACATATGTGCAATTGTTTTTGTCACATTTCTAGTTTTTTTTAAAAAAAAAGATACTATGTGCACAAAAATGATTTTTTACTTTTCACTGTGTGTGCATACCAGACCATGCAGTGATAAGCCAGCGTATTGAATGTCCTGATTTTAACACAGCCAGTCAGCTTACAGGGGCGGATCCAGCTGGTGGGTGCAGGGGGTGCACACCCTTCCCCTCCTGAGATCTGTATCCTTCAATACCTTCCTTATTTTGTATCTTCATGGTAATGATTTTTGTAGGGGATACACCCCCTCCTGAGAACCCTGCACTCCTTATTGAGGAAAATCCTGGATCCGCCCCTGGCTTGCAAAAATTCACACATTCAAGTATGGTAAAATAAAATATATGTAATACCCCTTAGGGATTTCCTTGATATAAATACGAGATGTGTAAAAATGTTCATTGTAGCCTGATGATTGTGTAACAACATGAAACTTATAGTCGCTACMCGCGTCATGCGTCTTTGATTCCGTTAAAATCATATGTAAAATAAAACAATATATATAACAGCTGTGATTATACACACTGTCTAACCATAAAGCACAATACCTTAGCAGGCGTGTTTAAGAGACTAAACARAGCGAGCACAAATGAATCCACTGTAACATATCCCTTCCTGTATTCCTCCAAATAATACGCCATTGTACCAAACTCACTGTCGTTCAATATTTGGCGTGCTTGTTCTTCTGTTAAACTCTTTGGTGATGGGCCAGTTCCRTTGTACATAAGTTGTGACCCCACAACACCATGTTGAAACTTTGAATCCTAGAACCAAGGAACAAATGAATATACTGTAATATTAAATCAATATTAGAATTATTAATAATTAGCTTTAAAAGTTAAAKTATCGAATGTTAATCATGAAATCATTGTAATTCTAAACATTTTCAAAATAAAATGTAAATTTTTTAAAATGTCTGCTATATATATCAGTATTATCTCAAGATTGCTCACTTAGGCAAGTTCAATTTCACCAGGGAGTACATGAAATGAGATAATTCTCTCTAGTAGAATGATSTAATTGGTTGACAATTTTAGTAGTTTGWCTGGAATATTGGACAAAAGGCACCAAAAAGCTTCAGCTAGGCTTTGCTCCGTGTTATTGGATGTATGTCTATTACACTGTTCTTTCCACATGCCTTTTCATTTCTCAATGTCAGTTRTACCAGTTTGGTATGTTCTCCGGTGATGATATTTTGAGATTCTTACCTCAGGTCTTCTTTCAAAACAAATGTTGTTTCCTGCTGTACCTCTCCTATGAGCAAGAAACAARACAAGTAGATTAAGGAACCTATTGTTAAAGGCGGTAATTTTTTCAGATTCATAATATCTTTGATGCTCAACATGTAATATTCATCAATTAATCGCAAAGTTCCAATTCTTCGATAAGCCCTTTAAAATTTAATAGTTTAGTTCATTATCTGAGTTACATTTACCTGTCATCAGGAATGGGATGTATCTGGGCAGTAGTTTGAATGCTTTCTGCATCCCTAGTGGGGATAAAAGTCGGATAGAATGCATTAGAAAATTCAAGGTTCCATTTCGATTGTGATCACATTTTTTTTATCTCTAAACACATTATTTATTAATTTTCATTTAACTCATGATCGTTATAACAAGTAGCACCACTTCCTAGGTTCTCACTTAAATATTGCTCAGCTTACCCCTGTAAGGAGATATTYGGTAGCTTTCCTTTGGCCCATTTTGTCCTGTCATTAGTTGTTTTAGCAAAGGGAAGACGTCCAACATCTTTCATTGTAACCATCATATTCTTAGCAGATTTAAGGACTTTAACTGCATCAGCATGGTTGATGTTGAGAAAACTGATACCATTGACATCCATGACCTGGTCGCCACACTAAAAAGAAAGCAAATGGTAAAGAGATAGGACTTTGTTTGGGTTTTGAGCTCAGGCTTCTAGTGTGTTTATACATGTTACTTATAGTAGCTGGGAAGACYGGYCACATTGCTAATAAAAATTAGTGTCAATGAAAATCACTTAATTTTAACTGGATTTTCCTCCCATTTGTGAATGCACTTGATAGAAGGTGATGCTTTCAATGAAGAAGGAGATGATGTCGTTTTTCACGCCCTTTACAGGATCTATTTGTAATGCTTCATGCAGTCAAATAATATATCATTGAAACTTGCACCCCMTAACAAGTGGGGAATACCGTGGAACATTAAACAGTGTTAAAGTTGCTACATTTCCCAGCCCTTGGAGGTCAAAAAAAAGTGGCTAAATTGATCATTTCCTTTGATTTAGACATAATTGCTCCCCCACCTTACCATTATTTAGGCCATAAACACAGGTGTTAAATCCCTGGCTTAATTTATTAATCTCYGGCCCCCTCCCAGGGGTTTAATCTAATATATAATAATCCTAACAATGTCTGGACAAGAGTATATTATGGTCTTGTACCTTCAACCCTGCTTTGTCAGCTGCAGAATTAGAATCAACACCAGCAATATATATACCAAGACCATATTCAGCACCACCTCTTATCTTCAAACCCAGTTTGTCGCCATCATCAACAAATATATTAACCTGAATGAATAGAGAATTTGAAAACTAAAAACRTAAATGAGTTTGAACCAGAATATTATTATTATCTAACTTATATTCTTGCATGTGTTATTTTCCTAGTGTAAATGCATTCAGCATTTGTTTCAACATTAATGTTCAACTTCCATGTTAAATATAATAATTATTGTAGAGTTCAGTATTGAACGTTGTTGAATGGTGTGGACAGAAAAGCCTTTTCTCTGTTTCAATTTGTCGCTGTCATCAACAAATACATGTATATTAACCAGGCTGAATGAATAGAGAATTTGAAAACTAATTAAAAACATAAATGAGTTTGAACCAGTATTATTATTATTATCCTATTCTTGTTAAGCCTACCTCGGACGATTAAATCAACATTTTGTTTCAACATTTGTTCAACTTTGGTAAAGATTGTAGAATTCAGTATTGAACAATGTTGAATTGTGTGGGTAGAAATTAAAGCATTTGCACTAGGCTTTCAGTGTGTTTCAATGGCAACTACCGCAAATACTGCASAATACGGCCAACAATACTGAAACGTGTTGAAAGCCCTATAGATGCAAAACGCATTGCTGTTCAACAAAGTTGAGCGGCATTAACCAGAG